AAATCGTCGGATTCAAATCGAATTACATCCTTCCGAATACGACCACTTTTTCGAAGTTGAACTACTTCGGTAGAACGTTCTTCACTAGGCATTAATGTTGATTGGCTAGATGAAGGCGGTGTGGCATTGATGAAATTTGGAGCGAATTCAAAAATTGGTTGTGAAGAGAGGTCAGAGCTACTTCTAGTTTTAAGCTGATTAACATGACGTTTGATGTAACCAAAAGATGTGTTCACTCTGTAAACCATTTTACCAAGTTGTTTCACAATAACTCCTTTTATCCATTTTTCCCCTCTTGCGTAGTTTCGAGCGAAGACGGGTTGCTTTAGACTGAATTTCATTTTCCGTTTCGAAGCTTCAAGGTGCTTTCTAGGCGATTCAAACAGTTGACTCAACAAGGTACGAACAGGCCTTCCATGTAAAAGTTCTGCAGGTGATTTACCCTCAGCATTCGGCATTGCACGATATGTTGCAAGATATTTTGATACAGCGAATTTGAGAGACAATCCATCGTCAATGTTTTTCTGAACAGCAGTTTTAAAAGATCTGACGAATCGTTCGGCTAACCCGTTTGAGGCTGGATGAAACGGCGCTGTTGTTATATGTTTGATGCCAAGTTTTGAGCAAAAATGTTTGAATGCTTCAGCTGTAAATTGCGGACCATTGTCACTTACGATGGTTTCTGGTATACCTTCCAGAGAAAATATAGAAGACAATGCTGATATGGTGTCAACCGTTGTTGTTGTAGATAGTTGTACAACGAACGGAAATTGCGAGAAAGCGTCGACACAAATTAGCCACATTGAATTACAAAATGGACCAGCAAAGTCGATATGTACTCTCTCCCAAGGTCGATCAGCTTCAGGCCAGCTTACGTATTCACGTGCGTGAACAGGATTTGCAATTTTGCACACATCACAATTTTCAGTTAATTGTGCGATGTCTTTGTCAATATTAGTCCACCAGACATGTTGTCGAGCTAGCTGTTTCATTCTCGATACTCCCCAATGACCATCATGAAGAAGTTTAAGAATTTTCTGCTTAAGGGAGGCTGGAATGACAACCCGGTTGTACTCCGTCTGGAGGCAAAGCAAATTGTTGTTTAGTATTAAAGCAAAGCGATGATTGAAAAATGATCGAAGATCAGCATCTTGAGGCATTAGCTTTTCAGGCCAACCGTTTGTAACGAGAAAATAAACTCGGCGAAGAATTGGGTCATTTTTGGCATGCTGACGAATTATTTCAGCGTCGATAGGTGTGTTAAGTTCATTGATGTTGAAACAGGATTCTTCATGATCAAAAGTTTTGTCTTCACCAACAGGTAAACGAGATAAAGCATCGGCATTTCCATGCTCAGTAGTTTTACGATACCGAACATCATACTGATAAGCCATTAGTATAATAGCCCATCGCTGTAAACGATGTGACGTCATCGACGGCAACTGATGAATTGGATTAAAAATGCTAACAAGAGGTTTGTGGTCAGTAACCAAGGTGAATCTTCTTCCGTATAAATATTGATGGAAACGCTTGACTCCAAAAACGATAGCTAGCCCTTCCTTCTCTATCTGACTATATCGTCGTTGATGAATGTCGAGAGTTTTAGATGCAAAAGCAATAGGCCTTTCTGTACCGTCAACGTACGTATGCGAGAGCACGACTCCTATGCCATAGGAGGAGGCATCTGTAGCTAGAACCAACGGTAAATCTTCCTGATAATGTGCTAATTGCGCTGCATTGAGAATATGCGTTTTAAGAGCTGTAAATGCTTGTTGTTGTGCTGTACCCCATGTGAATTTTACATTTTTTCGGCGCAGCATGTTGATTGGCGCGGATAATTGCGAAAAATTAGGTATAAAATTATGGTAATAGTTTACCTTACCCATGAATGCTTCTGCTTGCTTTAGATCTTTAGGCGGCTGCAGGTTTTTTACTGCTTTTAGTCCTGACTCATCTGGCAATATACCTTTTGCACTAATTTGACGCCCGAGATATTCGATTTTATCTCGCAGAAAGAAACATTTTTCTTGCTTGCACCTGATACCATTTTGTTGCAAAATACGAAGTACTTGTTCTAGGCGGCTGATGTGTTGTTGAAATGTAGGTGCGGAGATGATGATGTCATCGAGATAATTTCCGCAACCTTCTACGCCTTGAAGTAACTGCTCAAGATATCTTTGGAATATAGCTGGAGCGCTTGCAATTCCAAACGGTAAACGTTGGTATTGGAATAACCCAAGTGGAGTGTTGACAACCATTATTGTTTTTGCTTCATCGTCGAGTTCCATTTGTAAATACGCATCCTTAAGGTCGATTTTTGTAAAATGTTGACCGCAATTAATTTTATGGAAAAGACTTTCGCGTATGGGCAAAGGATATTGTTCAATGTCAATTTGCGCATTGACTGCTTGTTTAAAATCCCCACAAATTCTTATGGAACCATCAGCTTTTGGAGCTAGTACAATAGGCGAAGCCCATTGGGAAAACTTCACAGGTTTCCAAATACCCGCATTTGTCAATCGATCGACTTCTTTCTTGAAAAGTGACATTTGCGAAAATGGAATTTGTCGGCTTTTGTAAAATTTCGGATGTGCATTTGGCTTTAAAAAAATACTGACCTTAAAGTTTTTTATTGTGCCAAGAGCTGGTTCAAAAATATCACCATATTTCTTACACAGCTCGCTAATTCTGTGTGATTCACTAACTGATTCACAGTTACAAATTTGTTGAATCTCAAACCCGAATTCTTTAAATAAATCGAAACCGAATAAATTGTTACAGTTTTCGACATCCACGACAACGATTACCACTTCCCTTTTTTGTAGTTATACCATCACGTTCCAAAACAAAACTTTTTTATTCAAAATTTATAGTGTCTAATTGCTCTTATCTATCTTTAGCACCAAATATAGGTGATAGTTGAGTTCAAGCACATTATTTAAAATAAATTATTTATTTAATATACCGATATTATATTAACTGTGGTATGGGAATTATTGTGACTGGAACTGTAAGTAATTAGTAAGTATTCATATTAAAATCTTTCACTTAAACAATATAAACAACATTCTATTTATACTTGTAACTCAATCTTCGTATAAAAAAGTGCTGTAAGATAGCACTATTGACTTTTATTGCTTCGTGATTGGTTTTTTTATTCTTAACATCGACTTATTATTTCATACTCTATTTATGTACTTTATTACAAGGGAATAGAGATATATTAAGTTTCCTTAGACGTTCGTAATTACAACACTGTACATTATATTATACAAACGGTAGTTGTTTTGTTATTTTTTACTATTACTATTATTTTATTATAATATTGACTTCAGTTAATAATAACTGCGTGGTAACAATAGAGCTGATTGAGTAACTTACAAAACAAAACCTTTTTGTTCATATAGACTTTATCTATTTTTAACACCATATATTTGTGATAGTTGAGTTAAAGCGCATTATATAAAATAAATTATTTATTTAATATACCCATATTGTATTAACCGTGGTATAGGAATTATTGTGACTGGAAATGTAAGTAATCAGTAAGTATTTATATTAAAGTCTTTCAATGACACAACACAAACCACATTCAATATATACTTGTAAGTTAATCTTCGTACAAAAAGTGCTATGCGATAGCATTATTGTCGTTTATCACTTTATAAATTGGTTTTTTACTATTCCCAAATACGATTTATCATTTATACTCTATTTGAGTACTTTACTACAAGGAAATAAATATTTATTGGGTTTCTTAGACTTTCAGAGGTATAACAATTTACAACATATTTTACAAATGACATGATGAGTTTTGCGTAACTCTATTAATCTTAAGATGTATGGCTAATACTATTCGTTAGTTTCAATTTTCCTACATATATTGTACATATTAATTAAAAAATTTTAACATAATAATAATTCCACAAAGTTGGTTATGTTATTCACTATCTTCAATATCTGAAGTGCTAAATAATAAACATCTTTACACAGTACAATAGACTTGTTCTTATATTCTGAAAATTTGAAGTCCAATCAATACTCTCTCGAATATTATTTAATTTTTTTTAAAGACACTTGTAATGTGATACATGACTAATATGATAACATTTTAAAGATAAGGAAAGCCAGAAAGAAAAATGTGTTTGGATAAAATGATGAAAAGCACCTTACATAATTTGGTTGATTTAACTAGATTTTATCTAAATATCAGGTTAAAATATTCTTACTCGACGCATCCTGTTGGCTCAACCATACCATATGTTAATGTTCATATCTTCTTTACTACATGAGCTACAATTTTTTCAACAAAATTATCAGGTCAGCTAGTGATTGGTTGAACCATATTTTTCTGACTGTAGAAGCTCAGCAATTGCATTTAGAGGGATAACATATTGTCACTATTTTCTTTTGCTTAAGACTTTTTTAGAACTGACCATTGCCCCCATATATCTCAAAAAATATTGAAAGTATAGACTTACAATTTTGTTTAGGGCTCACGATTGATATGATAAAAATACATTCTTACTAAACATTTTTCTAGAATTTACTTAAAATAGAACTTAGAAATTGTAATTGAATTAAAAGAACTGAGATCCTTATATGAAAAATAAAATGAAAAATATATCCAAAATTGACATTATTTAAAATAATAATTTTGCTCGCTGATTGATAAACGCTAATATATTTTTTATAGCCACGACTTTTTCAAGATATCTACTGAGAAATAATGTGCTGAAAACATGTTGGAACTATAAACGTGTGGTGGTCTAACTAAACAGATGGCGGAAATTTATGGATGCATTGAAATTTTTGTATACTATAGTAATTTATTATATTTATATCATACATACATCATTTATCATAATTATATGCTTACATAATTATGACGCAGATTTGATGATGTCCAATTTAGCTGTCAGAGACGGGAGAAACTGAAGGAGTTTAGACTGGGTGTAAAAATATGTTGAAGAGCGAAAAGACTTTTTCACAAAATTTCTTTTTGTGAAATAAGGAGTAAAAAAAAAATTAAGGATGTATATTAAACTATTTTTGTAAGTAATAGGCAGCTTTCCTACCACTCATATCCTACCAGGTAACATCCGAACTGGTATTGGAGTACATTAACAAGCTGAATATACTTGGCTGAAAAAATTAGGTGCACTAAATACTGATTCCGGGGCATACTGGTATCTAAGGCAATGAAATGGCAGACAAACTTGCAAGAAGAGGCACGGCTTTAATAATAATACGCCCAGAACCTTTCTGTGGTCTAGGCAAAGGAATTCTGTCCATTCTTATGAACGGCGCAGAGGAAAAAAAATGAGAACTCTATTAAGCAAAGTTACCAGGACTATCATCTAAAAGCATCTAAAATGCTTTTATGGACTTACAACTTAAAACGCTGCAAAGATTGTATAGAAAAATCAAAAAATAACCTAAGAACTATTACGGGATTATTAACCGATCACTGTGGATTCAATAATCACCTAACGAAGTTAATAATTCAATCCAACTCAGACTGCTGATACTGTAGAGGGAAGAGACAAACTGCATACTACGTGGTTGGGTAGTGTCCGGTACTGATACACAAGCGAAAGAAACACCTAGGAGGGTATTTCATGGATCATAAAGATTACAGAGTAGGAAATATGGTATCTATATTTTATGTCATTAAAGAAATCGGACTTGGAGAAACACTCTAATATGATTAGGGAGTGCCTGGCACTGATGCACAAGCAGAAGCAGAAGATCCACCTAGGAGGTGAATCATACGTATTCAAGACTAGGAAAGATGTTTCATTAAAGAAATCGGATTTGGGGAAGCACTTTATTTTGACTAAGTCGCACAATAGATATTTTAGGTCCCAGTGCACTATACTTTTTTCACAATAATAATAATGATACGATACCGATCTCTTCTCTTTTGTCGTTCTTGTTCCTATTTGTGTGTGGCGAATGGTACTTAGTAGCCGAATTCAATGTGTGGTATCGCAACGACGATCCGGCCGTTCTTGGAACCATTAGTGCCTATCACAGCCTTCGTATCGCTCTTGTTCCTTCAGTTACAAAATTTTATCGTAATTTTGTTTAATTAAAATGCCAAATACTTTTTATATCACCTAATAGTTAAATAATTATTTTTGTGATAAACCAAGTATTTAAATTGAATTTTATAATCTCATGCAGTTTTTGTCTGCCACAAATATGCCTCTCATAATTTCGTCATTTAACCAATATAAGCATAATTTGAGTTTAATTTATGTCAATCAAACGATACCCCAAAATAATTATATATCAACATTTCCATTTAATGCCTATCATTGGTTTAATATTACCACTTTCACATATTTGCCCGCATCAAAAGCCCCAAATTTGTTTATCTCTGTTCACCATAATTTATATCAAATTACAGCATGCATCCGCAGTAGGAAGTACACACGACGAGTATAAGCCAAAGTTTGGGTTTGTGAGGAATATATTGTGGCAAATATATTCCTGCCATGTAGGCACATATATTTTGTGCATATTTGCAGGAACGTGTTCCAATGTGCAAACAGCAGAATTTGCACTTTCTGATGACACTGCAACGTTTGTGCCGATGCATGGGATGTATGGGATGCATGGGATGTGTGGTAGCATACAGAAATGAATTCAATCAAAATTCCTGATATCAGCAATGTCATTCTCAGCTGCAACTGTTTTCATAGCCTGTAAGTGGATTACTGCTTCCATGTAACATGTACTGTACTCTTGCCAAAGTGGCTGAAATTTGCAGCTTGTGGCAGCTTGCTAGGGAGATATTTGAATAGTTATTATATCCGCCACAAGTTGAAGACATTTTGTTTGGTTTCCGCAAATACAAGTTTGATATACATAAGTTGTCATTTTCATTTTCAATTTCGATTTCGGTTAGTTGGGTTTCATCTCAGTATTTGTATATACCAGCATTCATCAATCTAGTAATCCTTTTTTCTGCGTCTCACGTCAAAGTTAGATTTGCTGAAATATTTTCAAGTTCCTTTTAAAAGTTTGGAATACATTGAAAAATGTTAAGTATCTGCCAAAGTTCAAAGCATATCTTTGCAATACTTTCGTTTCCGCTGCTTGGTTGCGTATCTGATGTTGTCAGTTTTATACACTCTTCTCCACTGCCACTTAGTCTTTGCCTTGAAGTGCATTTTTGCGAAATACTTTCGTAGAATTTTTTGTCAAAATATTAGTTAAGAATAAAGTTTTGTTGGTTATGTAGAGACGGCACAACTATGTTTGGCGCTTTTGCTTTGTTTGGAGTGCTATTAAAATTGTATGCGTTTTATTTTATTATTTTTATTCGATTTTATTTCTCATCAGCACTCCATTTTGTCTTTTTAACTACAAGTGCAGAAAGATTGCACTGATATTTGTACATAAAATGTAGAAAAGAGTCTTTGCTTGGCATAAAGTGGAAAACATTTTCCGTATTTCACAAAAGCTGCAGAGTCTCCTTCAAGCGTCGTCACATAAGTGCATTCACACCGTTGCAAGTTGAAGGAATTTTCGCAAGTGT